GCTGGATTTCGCGTGCGGAGAAGGGGAGGCCGACTACAGGGAGATCCAGGAGACGACGGGAAGGGAAGGCGGACGATGGGAAGGGAGATCCAGGAAACACGGTCGAATCGTCGAAGCTCACGCTTCGTTCGCGTTCAAGAGAAGAAGGGGAGGGCTTCGGGGAGACGACGGGTTAAATCTGGAGAAGAAGAATAAAGAACAATTTTTCAAAACAGTCTCATTTCATTTTTTTTATTTTTAAGTCGACATATTTTTTTTATTTATCAAAACCGATCCGTTTTTTGCCACGTCAGCCTAATCACCGTCCTAAATAGTCGGGGTTGCCAAGTCAATCCCGACTATTTAGGACATAAAATTTTAGGATTTAAGGCTTCTAATTGGGGTTTAATGCACTACTAAATAGTCGGTGTTGGTAACCCCGACTATTTAGGACGGTGATTAGGCTGACGTGGCAAAAAACGGGTCGGTTTTAGTAAATAAATAAAAAATGGTCGATTTTAAAAATAAAAAAATAAAATAGGACTATTTTGAAAAATTGTTCAAGAAGAAATTTAGATGGAGTCGACGACTTTAGTTTAGGGTTTTGTTGAATGTAATAAGTAACTTAATCACATCCTTTCAAATTTTTTTTAAAGTAATCTAAGCCATTGACAAAATAACCTAAACTTTAAAACGTTACGCTGTCGCTGTCACGTTACGTAATGTGCGATTAGCGTTATTTTCAATCGTTACGTTACGTTAAGCGTTATTTTTGCGTTATGAAACGCGTTACTTTCTATATCGATCTAAACCTCCAAAAATTATCTCATTTTTAACTTATATTTTTACAAGTAAAGGAGGATGAGGTATGTTCTCACAACCAATGTGGGACTAAAACCCACTATAATACATTATTATCAACATATAGTTTAGCAGATATTTTCGGTAGTGTGAGCCAAGAGTAAAATATTTTGCGCACACACTGTAGGTTGGGCCCACATGTCATATTCCCCAAGTGAAAACCCGTCCATATTGATAGCGATAAATGGTACACTAGAGTTATACTACTCTTCTACTCCTATACACAAAAAAGTAAGACATTTTTTTCGTAAATTACAAAAGAAAATATGAGTTCTAACGGACCCCGCTTCTTTGTCTCCAGGAGTACAAGAATAATACGGACATGTTTGGTTGCTGCACAAATAATTTTAGCAAATATTGCAGCAACAAATGTTGCACGTAGCATTTGCTGCTAGAAATTAACTTCAAATTTACCTTTTGGATTTTTGTAATTATATTCTACGAAATGTATTTTCAATTGAGATGTTCTGTGATTTATCTTTGAATGGTTGGTTAGATAGTTTTAAGACATTGTAGCATTGGAGACGTTTAATTCCAAAGATGAAGGGAGACATAAAAGTTCACTATTTCAAAGTCTTTATGGTGTTAATTTTTCTTACTTTTTCTGGGTTTATTGGCAAACAAACAGCCAATAGTTCTATTTGGACAAATAGAACCTAAATGGTTTTTTTTTTTTTATTCTTAATTAAAAATGTTTGAGGAGGCACATCAGTTCCCTCTATTTTTGTGAGGACAGATCCCTTTTTTAGGACTTTTAAGAGCCAAAAAATGCAATAATGAGGTGTATTTGAACTTAGATCAATACCAGATGGTCTTCGCAAAAATAAAATAATATGAGGCTTATTCTCAATTAGGTGATACTTAGCGGGTCAATTCTTAATTAACCATACTTATTTTTTTATTGTTTTATTTGGCTGATTCCAGACAATTTTCTCACTGATGGCTTATAAATTTTGTCGCGGATGGAAATAATAATTTGAATCCAGTGACCGGCCTCAGGTTCATGTTAAAACATTCTTCGTTACTAAGAACTAGGTAAATTGCATGTGCATAATATATGTGGTGAAAAATAGAAACACGTTTAAATACTATAACAATGCGATTTCAAGAAAATTAATACAAAATAATTTATGAAAGAATAAGTAATACTAAGAGACATTTACAGACGAAAATATTATCGTATTGGACGAGATCAACTTTGGCTTAGTGCTACTTGTATATAATTTTCAACATTTATTTGTTGATTTAATATTAGTATATTATCATCTTTTACTTATTTAAGTAATGACTTTTTTTGCTCTTATTTTTAATATATTTATTTTCTCTATTTTATATCATCTTTTACTTATTTAAGTAATGACTTTTTTTGCTCTTATTTTTAATATATTTATTTTCTCTATTCTATATCATTCCTGTGTTATTGATCCCCATGCAAAAAGATATTTTCATGTTAAACTTTAACTCTTTTACAATTGATATCAACCATTACAACTATTGTTTTATTTTTATAATTCAAAATCTAGTACTAATATAAGTATTTTAATTTTTTAATTGATCATTTTTCTATTTTACAATCTTTAAATCGAAGGTTTTATGTAAGATCTAATATTAATAGGAATATCCAGTGGGTCAGGTTTACAAAACAGACGACCCTCACAGAGACAAGAACCCTTGAATCACTATAATATCGAAAGCTAGAATGATTAATGTATTGATCCAGGAATCCTCCTCTTTTCGGATCACAGCATATATTATATGTTGATTCCACAAAGGGAAATGTAACAAGATATATGTCATAGGAAACAGCAGATTCAGGGGGGAAAAAATTTAAGAGGGTAGACGACAAGTACCCATTTATACTAAAATTTAACATGGTCCACTACAAAACAAACATTCTTGATGGATAAGATGAATTTTCATATTATTAGGGTAAAACTCAAGTGGAGTGCAAACTTTTTCCTGGTTATGTGGGTCAAATTGCAAATTGACAATACTATACAATGTGATTTTGCATAACTTTAGAGGTGCAACTACCTCTTTAAGACTATACATGAATCCTCCCTAATTATAGGCATCTAAACTAAATTAGTTATGCCTCTTTAAGACTATACATGAATCCTCCCTAATTATAGGCACTAGTATTTAACCCGTGCAAAGCACGGGCTAGTATTAATCTTTTGGTTTGTTTTATGTGTACATATTTTTATGCATCACTTGCGCTACTGTGATAACACTTTTTGTTGTCTTTCTTAATTTCAGCATCGTTCTCAATTCAAAGAATTATATGTTGTTTGCAAAGTTGACATTTATGTTCAATAAGTAA